CCTGCATCTTCAGCCCCTACATTCCAGACAAACCAATGCCTAGCCCCCTGGAAACCTGTGTTGTTCATCTTCCTAGTGAAACCGACATTTCCAAGGATGAAAGGAATTCAAGGGATATTTGGATGAATATCTGAAGGCTGATGGGAACCACCTGGACGTCCCTGACTTTCTCTGCTCCTCAAACTGTGAAAACCCAGTCCTACCCCATTGCTTTGCCAAAACTCAGTGTCATGCCGTGTGTTGCCCAATTTGCAAATTGTGTGATCAACAATAAATCTCTAGCATTATTTTAACTTTGCTTCTGCTCTTAGAAATTCTTCAGCAGTGGCTAAATGGGAAAAAACCTTTATTCTCAGCTGAAAAGTTCATTCTCAAACAAAGGTGGAGGTGGACACCATTATTATTTTGTTCCTGCTTTGTCCCTTACTTGATACCTAGCAAGGTATCTAAACATTTTGGGCCTGAGTTTTCTTTTCTTTTTTTCTATTTTTTTCCCATACAAAAATTTATACATACACTGTTATGTGACTCTAATTGCTCTCCCCATACTGTGACAGCACATTCCTCCTTTCCACCCCTGATTCCCCATGTCCTTCAACCAGCTCCTAACCCTCTCTGCCTTCCCATCTCACCTCTGGACAGAAGCTGCCCATTTAGACTTTTGTGTCTACTTGAGCTAAGAGGCACACTCCGCATGAGTATCACTTTATGTCCCACAGTCCAGTCCAATCCCTGACTGAAGAGTTGGTCTTAGAAATTGTTTTGGTTCTGGGCTGATAGAGAATCCAGGGCCCATGCTTTCCGGGGTACCTCCAGTCTCAGTCAGACCATTAAGTCTGGTCTTCTTACTAAAATTTGAGTTCTGCACCCCACCTTTCTCCTGCTGCTTCCAGGACTCTCTGTTGTGTTCCCTGTCAGGGTGGTCATTGGTGGTAGCCGGGCACCATCTAGTTCTTCTGGTCTCAGGCTGATTGAGTCTCTGGTTTATATGGCCCTTTCTGTCTCTCGGGCAAATACTTTCCTTGTGTCTTTGGTGTTCTTCATTCTCCTTTACTCCAGGTGGTTGGGACCAATTGATGCATCTTAGATGGCCACTTGCAAGCTTTTAAGACCCCAGATGCCACTCACCAAAGTAGGATACAGAACATTTTCTTAATAAGCTTTATTATGCCAATTGACTTAAATGTCCCCTGAAAGCATGGTCCCCAGACCCCTACCCCTGCTACTTTGTCCCTCAAAGTGTTCGACTATATTCAGGAAACTTCTTAGCTTTGGTTTAGTCCAGTTGTGCTGATTTCCTCTGTAGTGTGTGCTGTCCTTCCCTTCACCTAAGATAATTCTTATCTACTATCTAGTTAGTAAATAACACTCCCCCTCCTTCCCCACCCTCATAACCATCAAAGAATGTTTTCTTCTGTGTTTAAACCTTCTCTTGAGTTCTTATAATAGTGGTCTTATACAATAATTGTCCTTCTGTGACTGACTAAATTCACTCAGCATAATGACCTCCAGCTTCCTCCATGTTATGTTTCACGGCTTCATCATTGTTCTTTATCATTGCATAGTATTCCATTGTGTGGATAGACCATAATTTGTTTCTCCATTCATCCCTTGATGGGCACCTGGTTGTTTCCATCTTTTTGCTATTGTGAACAGTGCTGCAGTGAACATGGGTACGCATATATCTATTCGTGTGACAGCTTTTGTTTCTCTAGGATATATTCCAAGGAGCGGGATAGCTGGATGGGCCTGAGTTTTCTGATGTGAAAAAATAGCATCTCTACCAAACTTAAAGTTTTCTATAGAGCACAAGCAACACAGTGTGTACAAAAACACCTTTAAATAATAAAATGGCATAAATATTAGCTATTATTGTTATTAAATCAGTAGCTACACTTCCATTTATGTTCCTTAACTTTCCCAAATGCTGTTATATAAAGGAGACATATGTATACTTTAAGATGCAAGGCAGTGATGGGTAATGCCTTCACTGTTCTTTCAGAATGGTAAAAATTTCTATTATGATGGTATCTAGGGGATAAAGCAATTGACTGCTAACCAAAAGATTGGCAGTTCAACATCACCAGTGGCTCTACAGGAGAAGGATGTGGCAGTCTGCTTCCGTAGAGATTTATAGTCTTGGAAACCCCATGGGGTCGGTATGAGTCGGAATTGACTCGATGGCAGTGGGTTTTACATTCCAATATGTCTAGATTTGAAAAGAAATGCAAAAAAAAAAAAAAAGCCTCTTGATGCTGTGAATCTTCAAGAAAATACCATATGGCATGCGTTTGCTCAAGAGTATGAAATATATCTTCTCTGAAAAGCTAAACTTAGGCAACTCGCTATTATGCTGAGCATCTTAAATTCTTTGCATGCTGCTATTCAAAGAGAGGGAGTCCCTGGGTGGTGCTAATGGTTAATGTGCTCCCTGCTCACATAAAGTCTGGAGGTTCCAGCCCACCCAGAGGCACCTCGGAAGGAAGACCTGGTGATCTACTTCCAAAAAATCAGCCATTTAAAAACCTATGGAGCACAGTTCTACTCTGACACATGGAGTTTCCATAATCAGAACTGGCTCGACAGCAACTGGTAGTGGTAGCCGTATACCAATTTACCAATTATGCAATAGAGGATTTATAAATGTTTGTTGAATAAATGATATCTATGCCCAAGGAATATCCATTTGTTCTCTGCTACAAAAAAAAAAAAAAAAAAAAAGATGTTGTGAACTTTCTACATGAAATAAGACTCACGGGGACCTGAGCTTTTGGCAAAGTCTTCTATATTGAGAGAAAAGGAAATTTAAATGTTACTATGTTACTGTTCGTCTGCAAAATTTTCATAATGCGTATATTCCACAAAAAGGCAGAAAAACCTTATCTCTGTACAACTTGTTAAAACAAAAAAATCACATTAAGCCAATAATAGAAATCGATCTAAGTTTATTAAATACATGATTTGCAAACTGGGGTAACATTTCAATTGTTGTTGTTGTTAGGTGCCGTCAAGTTGGTTCGGACTCGTAGCAACCTTATGTACAACAGAACAAAACACTGCCCGGTCCTGCACTGTCCTCAAAATCATTGCTATGATGGAGCACATTGCTGCAGCCACTGTGTCAGTCCATCTCGTTGAGGGTCTTCCTCTTTTTCGCTGGCCCTCCTGATAACATGTGCAAAGTATGTGAGACGTAGTCTCTCCATCCTTGCTTCTAAGGAGCATTCTGGTTGTACTTCTTCCAAGACAGATTTGTTCATTCTTTTGGCAGTCCATGGTATATTCAGCATTCTTGGCCAACACCGCAATTCAAAGTCGTCAGTTCTTCTCTGGTCTTCCTGATTCATTGGCCAGCTTTCACATGCATAGGAGACGACTGAAAACACCACTGCTTGAGTCAGGTGCGTCGTAGTCTTCAAGGTGACACCTTTACTTTTTAACACTTTAAAGAGGTCTTCTACGTCAGATCTGCCCAATGCAATGTGTCATTTGATTTCTTGACGCTGCTTTCATGGGTGTGGACCGTGGATCCAAGTAAAATGAAATCCTTGACAACTTCAATCTTTTCTCCGTTTATCAGGATGTCGCTTATTGGTCCAGTTGTGAGGATTTTGTTTTCTTTATGCTGAGGTGTAATCCATACTGAAGGCTGTGGTCTTTGCTCTTCATCAGCAAGTGCTTCAAGTCCTCTTCACTTTCAGCAAGCAAGGTTGTGTTATCTGCATAACGCAGGCTGTTAATGAGTCTTCCTCCAATGCTGATGCCCATTCTTCTTCATATAGTCTAGCTTCTCAGATTATTTGCTCAGCATACAGATTGAATAAATATGGTGAAAGGATGCAACCCTGACACACACCTTTCCTGACTTTAAACCAAGCAGTGTCCCCTTGTTCTGTTTGAACGACTGCCTCTTGATCTATGTACATTTCAACTAGAGAGTCAAAAATGTCCCTCAGGTGAGAGACCCTCTGAAGACACATATACCCCACCTTATGGGCATTGCCATGGAAAAGGGCCAGAACAGAAGTGATAAACAATGTGTAGTCAGGAAGGATTTCATACGTCATTATCTTTAAGAACAATTAAAATAATTACTGACTTACCCTGAAACACAGCTCCCAGTCTGACCATTGGAGTCTGTTTCCTGAAACTGACTGAGTTCTGCCAAAGAGCCCAAGGCAAAACGGTCTTACTGGTTTACCTAGACCATTGTTTGACTCTAAGGTGACTTTTAGAAGACTAGCTTCTGGAAGGCAGACAGGATTAGGAGGTGATTGAACGGACATGGGGAATCGTGTGGAGAGGACAAGTGTGCTGTCATGGTATGGGGAGAGCAGTTAGGGTCACATGACAGTGTATGTATAAATTTTTGTATGGGAAAAAATTTAAAAATGATGTTTATACACACACACACACACACACACACACACACACAAGAAAACCAGTTTCTTCAAGGTCCAAGCCTCAAAAGGACATCTAAGGGCAAATGGCCTGGGTGGGTCACCCCAACTTCGTGGACCCCAGTAATTTGGATTCCAGAAGAATTAAAAACTGTGTCTCAGTGCTCAATTGCCATTTTCACTCAGTGATGTTGCAAAGTTGTCTTTGATTCCTACAGGTGACAGGAGAAGGTAATCCGGGTGAATATTTTCAGAAAGAGAGAAACATGGCTGGACTCTGCAAACTCCAGAACGCTGGGGCTCATGATTTAAACGTGCGTTGAATGTCACAGTGGGTGCTATAGATGGTTTCCTTATCCTAACCTGTTGGTGTATTTATGCATTTGAAGGGGCCGCGGAAACTTTGGCCCACTTCTCATTCCAAACTGGACTTGCTTTGAAATGAAAGGTGTGTGGAAGCTTTGTTCAAATTTCCCGGGACGCAAAGAGCGTACAACCCTGCCACTGGATGGGAAAATCTGAGTTTACTTTAGCACATAGAGAACGCGCTTGTGTCTAAAGTGTATTTTTTCCTAATATCAGTGCCCTTTCTTCTCCCAGGCCTTCCCCGGGAACATCAACTCGGACGGTGTGGTCCGGCACGACCTGCAGCACCCGGTGACCGCGCGCTATGTGCGCCTGGTGCCCCTGGACTGGAACGCGGAGGGCCGCATCGGGCTGCGTGCCGAGGTCTACGGCTGCCCCTACTGTGAGTGACTGCACCCGCGGGGTGTCAACTCCATCTCAAACATAACGCTCCTTTTCCATCGTTAGCATCACTGGCTTCGTCTGCCAGTGCCCTACCTTCCTATTTTATCATAAATGAAATATAAGGTTGTTTCACTGCATATATGAAATGGGTATCACACACACATGGAAGGACATTTTAAAAATACCTTGAGTAAAAGATTTGGAGCATAATTTCTGTTCTCAAGACGTAAACCACAAAGCTTGTTACTTATGTTGCCTGAAGTCTTACGAAATATTTGAAAAGGAGAAACCTCGGGTTGAGGTTGATAAATTAGGATCCTTGTGGTTGTGTGGCCTGGGTATCCGTGGAAGCAGGTCCCTGTTTTCACACTTTCTTGCTGCTCGCATCAGGATAGGAAGGCCAAGCTAAAATATGATATTTTTCTTAGCATGAAAGTTTTTATGAGGGCCGTAAACAAACCCGTTGCCATTGAGTCAATTCCGACTCTTAGCAACTCTATAGGACAGAGTAGAACTGCCTCATAGGGTTTCCAAGGAGCAGCTGGTGGAGTCGAACTGTCAACCTTTCGGTCAGCCGCCGAGCTCTTAACCACTGCACCACCAGGGCTGCAATCTGAGCATGTCGACCTTTGAATAAATGAAAATATTTAATGGTCTTCATGGAAACCATGACGTATACAATTTATTCCATTTACAACTCTTTGCGGAGCATTCAGTATGTGCCAGAAACTACGCCTGACATTAGTAATACCACAGTAAAGAAGAAACAATGTGGACATGGAGAGAGAAAGCTGGACAGTCGATCCAGTGGTAGTAATGATGACAAAAACAGGAAAAGGGAAGTTTGCCCAGAGGCGCAGAGCCTAAGCAGCAGAAAGGGGAACCAGAGCTGGAGCTGGTAACCCCTGTTCTGCTTCCTGCTCCTTAATTCCAACAGTGGACACGCAGGAAACCACCAAATGTTGATGAAATACGCATCCACAGCCCAGAAGCCCCTACGGTACTGCTACTCCTCAACGTCAAAACCAAAACAAACCAGCCAAAAACGCCTGCTTTTTATCACTATAGATCAGTTTTTCCTTGGAATCATAAAATAGACATTATTTTGTGTGTAGTGTCTGTGGATCAAAGTAATGTTTGAGAGAATCCTGTGTGTTGTTATCTGAGGCATCTGTTTGCTTTCTTTCATTGGTGTTATTATTCTGTTGTGTAAATATTCTCCAATCATTTGTTCATTCTCAAGTTGATGGACATTTGACTAGTCTGCAGATTTGGGCTATTCTGATAGAATTGCTATAAACATCTCTGATGGATATAGACTCAAACAAAAAAAACGCAAACCCATTGCCATGGAGTCAATTCTGACTGTAACAACCCTATAGGACAGAGCAGAATTGCCCCATGGGGTTTCCAAGGCTGTACATCTTTACAAAATCAGACTGCCACACCTTTCTCCCGCAGAGCAGCCGGTGGGTTCAAACCACCAACCTTTAGGTTAACACCCAAGCACTTAACCACTATGCCACCGAGGCTCCTGTGGATATAGACGCCGGAAGGGATGATCCTAAGCCAGCAGATACGTATGTTCAGGTTTTGTCATGACTGAAACAAACACTCCCACAGTGGATGTGTCAATTTTCACTCTCACAAGCAGTGTAGAGGCCTATTGTCCCGTGAATTTACAAGAAGTTAGTGTTGTCTTTTTTCAAATTTTAGCCATTCTGGTGAGTGTTTCTTTATATTTCATGCTAGTTTTAATGTTATGTTTCCCTGACTTCTAAAGATGCTTATTGGTCATTTGGATAGCCTCTTTTTGAGGTGTTTGTAAAAAAATTTGCCCACGTTTCTGTTGGGTTATCTTTTACTTGTTTTCTAATTGATTTGAGTAGTTTTTACTGCCAGCTCGCTGCCTTTTTTTTTTTTTTTTTTTTCCCCTTTTCATTCTGCTTATGACATCTGGACATGCATCTGATTTTTGAAGAGCATTTTCTTTAAAAGTAATAATTTTAAAGGCAACACTGTTGACGACGTTGCTCAAGAAGGACCTTCCGGGAAGGCAGGAGAGCTTTCCAAAGAGCAAACCGTGCTGACTCAGGTGTGGCTAACATACGACAAGGCGCTCGCTCGTCTCTGAAAGCAGAATGTGAAATTGTGAGTTATGTGCCATCATGGGCTTTTCTGTCAAGCCGAATTGTTGGTGGTCACAAGACGGGGAGGAAAGCTACCTGAAGCAAAAGAGAAAGTCAGACTTTGCTGGGGTATCCACCTCTCCGGGGGAAATCGCGGAGCACTGGGAAATTGTGTTAACATTTATACCAGTAGATACCGGCCGAGTAAATGATGAGTTGACAACATCGATAAAGAAATTGCGATGTGAATTTTCCAAAGGATCTAGCTAAATTCCAGGTGCTAAATTATGTCTCCTTAGAATTGAATTTTTTTTCTAGCAATCATGAGTTCCAAACTCTTTATTTTAGAGATGAGAAAACTGAGGTCGGGTTGAGAATACAGAATTCTTTCTTCTCTCTGAGAATGGGAGCCTGTGTGTGGAATGCTGCATAAATTCAGAAACACTAGTCACTTCAGAAATCAAAGAGAACGTGCAAATGAGCAGTGTCAGGTTGGTTGCAACAGCGGCGTTGGCTTGAGCTAAGCCTTCACTTTGGTGGCTTTCTTACAGGAGTTTAACATATCCTCACGTAAAATTTAGGCTTTTCTTGGTTTCAATTCTCCCCCTGAAGATAACTCTATTCTAGTTTTAGCAATCTTAAAAATAAACCACCCTCTATTTTACTTGGGGAAGTCCAATGCTAATAATATCCGTCTTCGGAGACTCTTGAAGTTTCAACCTGGTAGAGCTATGATTTGCTGGTATCAGGTCGACCAAGTTCTGAGTCTTCATATGTCATGGTATATCGATAAACTACTAACAAGAAGAAACTTCTCTCATCTCACTTCATCCTTTCTTTCTATCTCTCTGTCTCTCATCTGTCATATCTATTATGTATGCAAATATGTATGCTCTCTACTCATCTATCCTTCTGAGTTTAACTTTGTTGAAGACTGTGAACCCAAGTTCATACATGTATCGCCTATTTCTCTAAAACAAATACATTCTTCTCTAAAGATAGAAAAATAACATGGTAGTAGGCTGAACGATGGCCACAAAGATGTCAGGTCCTTGTCCCTGGAACACGTAACCGTTACTTTATACGGCAAAGTCTATGCCGGTGTGATTAAATTAAGTATCTTGAGCAGGGGAGATTATCCTGGTTTATCCAGGTATCACACGTATCCTTATAAAAGGGAGGCAGATTTCACAGACAGAAGAGAAAGAGGCTGTGTGATTATGGAGGCAGAGATTGGAGTGATGTGACCTCACTCCAAGGAATGGCTGCAGCCAACAGAAGCTGGAAGAGGCCGGGGACAGATTCTTCCCTAGAGCCTCCAAAGGTATCCGAGCCCTGCTTACACCTCAGTTTCAGCCCACTAACCCTGATTTGGTACCTCTGGCCTCCAGAGCTGTGACGGAAGGAATTTCTGTTGTTTTAAGCCACCAAGTTTGTGGTAATTTGTTACAGCAGCAATAGGAAACTAATGCAAGTATTGAAGTCATGTTAGAAATTAAAGCTAAAAATAGCTCTAGATTCGTGGTCTCCAATAGGATTTTCTGCCCAGGTGTAAGTGTTCTCAGCTGACTGTGGCCACTAGCCAATTGTGGCTACTGAGCAGTTGAAATACAGCTAAGGCAACTGAGAAACTAAACTTTAAATTCCACTTAATTTTGATTGTTTTGATTTGAATTTAAATAACCATGGTGGCTAGTGGCCACCATATTGAACCGTGCAGCTTATAGAATCAAAACATCTATTTGTTAATATCTTTCTTCCTTCTCCTTATATAATCTAAACAAGCTATTACTTTTTTTTTTTTTTTTTTTTTTTAAACGGCAGTCTATTTTCTTTAGTCTGCAAACGAACAGTCAATCATCCTGCTAACTGTGGTCCTGTCAACATTTCTTGGCTGGCCATCCCCTTAACCACAGCAAATATCCAGACAGAATTATTTCTCATTTGTTTACATTTGAAGAAAGCAAATGACATTGATCTCTTTTACAAAAAAAAAAAAAAAAAAAAGTTCGTGCTTATAATAAGAAAAAGGACGTGCTAAATATATTTATTATGGACAATTTTCTAAAAGTGGCTCTGATCTGTTTATCTGTCCTGGAATTCAGACTACAGTGGGCCCTAGGACCCTCTGTTTCCCTTGAACTTAGAGGCTGATGTGCTGAGGGCTTTGTTTGATTTTCAGTGAGGAAGGACACCTGCATCTTTGAGTGGGTGATGCGTCACACCCCCATGTGCTTCTCAGAGGTGGTGCACTGCAGGGTCCCAGGGACAACTCTCGGCTTTGATCCCTCCTGCGGGGGAGAGATGAATTCTCTCTTCTTCCTAGGAACCCTTTGGAGGGCTCATCTGAGATCCATCTTAGACCTGCAGGTTAGGGAGTGGGGTTGTGCTTCTGTACTTCACAGTTTGCTGGACAACGCAGAGGGAGACCGCTACACGCGTGTGCTGCGCTGTGAACGCGTGGTGCCCCCTCTGTGCCCGCTGCGCCCCCTCTTTCCACAGCCAGGTCACTTGAGAAATCAGGTCCCTCTCGAGGCCGGAAAAGGGCAGTTCACTCTTGGGGTGGAGAAGCTTCGTTCCAGGCCCCGTCCGTGAACCCTCCTGCTGTTCCCTGACTCAGCTGCAGTCCAGTCTGAATCCCAGCTTCCAGGAGTCCACGCTCAGTTTACATTAGTCAGCCCCCTGCGGTCGGTTTTCCCTCAAGTTCAGTTAGAACCAGCACCAGCTGCTGTTTTCAAAGCGGCAGTACACCCTTGCTGGGACGGCAGTGGGCCCGCTTCCAGACCATGATGCAAACCCCCTGCCCTGCGCTGGAGGGAGAAGCCTCAGTCCAGTCATTTGTCAAAATCACTGAGGGCTGGAATGCGCA